ATCATTTTCTTGTTTTGAGAAAAGGCCACATCATTGCATGTGGTTTCTTCTTTAATATATATATATATATATATATATATATATATATATATATATAGATTATCTGTGAATATCAACGTACCTTAACTTATGTCAACACACATTATCCAGGAAATTTTAACACATGTTAACAAAATCGCCTCCGATCAATACAAATGCATACAGATGAATGACAGACCTAGAAAACGACATAGTCCAGCAACGCACATGGATTGATTTGTGTGCCTTCATGATCAACGATCCTGACTGTTTCTTATAAAATTTAGATTTTCTACTGCAATCCAATCATATATATATATATATATATATATATATATATATATAATTAATGTAGGAGTATTAAACCATAAAGCATGTGATTAAGAAAAGCATAAATGTGGGGAGTAGAAAGGCAATAAAAAGTTAGAATGGAAAAAGAAAAGGAGGAAGGTTTCAATATCTACATGGGTGTGAGTGTGAGTGTGCAAAAAAGAGGTTTCACCCATTTTTAGATGCTTGCCCACCAATCACCATTTTTCTCAATTTTTAATATTATATAATATTAAAACATTAAAACTTTTATGTGCTTTTTCTATCTCATTAAATAATTTACATTATTTTTAATCATAAAATTTTTAAAATATATGGAATTAAAAGTTAAAGTTTGTTTTAAATATGTAACAAAAATATTTGTTTGATTTTAATTTTAGAAGAAAAAACAAATCACCTAACATTTTAAATTAAGAATTATTGCAAATAAGTCAAAATTTTGAAGTTTATTAAAGCAAAATTATAATTAACTAAAAAAATACACGTGCAATGCAACAAAATATATTTTGATTTTAATGTTTCGTCTTATTATATCTTTGTAGATGTTATAATACACTTTATAGGTCTTGAAAAAGAGATCATGTTTTTATTTTTGAATAAAATATAAATTTGAAGATAGATACATCGATATTAATATCAAATTAACTACTTTTTGGGTAATTTCATTAATTTAACTTTTTTTATTATAATTTAATTTAGATTTAATAATATAATTTTTTATAAGAGTAATAATTAAGTATTTTGTTAGAACTCAATGATTATCTTAATTACATTATAGATTTTGTATATTTAAAATAAAATGTTTATCTGTAGTTAATTACACGAATTCAAACGTGCAGCTTTAATAAGTTGTAGTTACACAAAGTTTATTTGTAACATTAAATTTTAAATAATGTACATCAATAATTTTTTTTGATATCTTAGTTTATTACAAATTAATAATTAATAATGTAAATTATTATTATTATTATCCTAATATTTTAGATTATTTATTATATATATAAAAATAGGGAAATTGATATTTATGTAAAATTTCAATTAAGTCCGCTTGAAAACAACGCTTTCTTTAATGCCCACAAACTTCTTTTTCTTTTATAAATACCCTCAAAAAGGCAAAAGTAAAGTATTCAATGCTTGTGAAAACCCCACTTTGGTAGACCCACACCTTCTCATTCCATTCCATTCCATGGTCTGTTTCGTTTGGTTTCTCTCGAGATAAATTACCGAATTATATCTGATTTCAATCTCGAGATCTGCCCTAAAATTGGCTTGATCGGGCTATGAGACTTGTTGAACCTGGCCCCGAACTCATAGGTTTGGGCTCACTCGCACTGGGTCTGCTTCAGGCTTTGGCTTTTTGTGCATTTATATATATTATCTATTATTATCCGACATATTTAACAACTTAAATTATATAAAAGAGAACCAGATACCATATATACAACTCAAGACGCATGGTGCGTGTCTTGAGTTCTAAGAATCAAACAAATTCAAAAAAACGCATGTCATAACACGACTCAAGACGTCATGGTGCGCGTCTCGCTTTACATAATCGATACAAAGACTAACGTGGCATCTAAATTCTAAAACACATATTGACGTCATAACGCACCTTTTAAAAACGATACAATTATTTGGTTGTAATGATATGAACCATACATACATACATACATAGAAGGTTGGGTGGTCAAATCTTTAGACCACCATGCATGGAGGTGGATGGTTGTGTTGGTGATGCCCACAAATCCATGATATGTTCCTTCTCTTTAACCACCATACAATCATTTAAAGACACCTTTATTTGTGATTGGAATTGGGGTTATGTGTCTTCTTGGAGGTCAACCCCATTATGCACTAAAGCTCTCAAAGTCATTTTCATCATCATTCCTTCATATTCTCATCCACTCTTTGCATTTCAATTATCTTTTACTACCTCCAACTATCTGCTTTGTCACTGATTATTTGAATTAGAAACTGAATAACAGATTTCGACAAAACTGTAACTGAAAGATGGGAAGATGTAAGTCGTTGTTCTGTTGAAGTAATGTACTTCTGTTTACGCTAAGTGTTTTGTTGTAAAAAGTTCAAGGTTTATTATAACGAGGCAAAACCAAAAACCCGTTACTGGAATTTCTTACTTCTCATATATTGTGAGAATATATGGAACCCCACTAGTTACTCTGCAAAAGAGCCATTGAGGAGGAAGGGGAGATCCAACATATATACTTGAGAAATGGTTCAAGTCTAGCTGATGTGGGACTCTAACAAAGAGTTTCTTAAAATATATTAAATTATATATTATTATGTTTCAAAAAGTAATAATATTAAAGTAGAGAGCATGGTTGAAGTAACAACATCAAAAACTACTTCTTACACTAAATTTTAGGCAAATAACTCTGTACATTAAATAGAGTACGTGTGGATATGCTCTTAACAACTTTACAAACATGTGCTTTTGGCTCATGTCCAGTTAAGCAAACCAAACAAACAAAACCAGTAAACCACATATAAAGATAGGATACGAGAATGTACGTAGACCGTTGCTCTACCATAGAAAATGATTCCTTAGATCCCCGTGTTCCATAAGAACCCCAAACACATAAGTGTTTCAGTTTTTTATCGAAGGGGTGATTGATAGCAGCTTTAAGCTACAAAAATCCTGCTTCTGTAATTATTTATTTTCTAGAATAAAAAATCGCAGGCATTGCATCTTCAAGGAAAATAGAACACCCAATTGTACATGGGCTAAGAACTTCCAAGCATCTTTTCAGTAACTAAAAGAAAGCACACATTTTTCCGCACTTTGGGCTTTGAGTGTGAAAATACGCACGGTCGATCCTTTTCAAGCCTAACCCTAGGCTTTTGAGAAGAAAAGAAGCTTGGCTCGATTGGGGGCTTTAAGACTTGGCTTGGGCCTAGGGTTCAAGCTTGCTAGTCCTAGTTTTTTTTTTCGGGCCAGACTTTGGGCTTTTTGTGCATCATTTCTCATCTATGTTTCTCCTACACGGGACCAATAATCACAAACCACAATTCGACACTAATTATACCATTTCCTCCTCAATGTTTTTGACACCCTCATCGAGTAAGAATCCTCGAATTACGCTAAGTTATATCATATCCCAGGCACCAAATCAAACCATCAGCATGCTCCTTTGAAGTCGTACTATATCTGCAGATACAATTCTAACAATTGGACTCGTACTTTTGCATAACATATAGTATTCACATAAACATCTGTTCTATTCTTCGAACCATATTTTTAAATGGGACATACTGGATAGAGTTTGTTGGATCTGTTGTATTTTTAATAATAAGACAGTATTTATAATATTATTGCAGTTTTAAAACATAGAAAAAGAAAATCTTGGAAAGTTCAACTTTGAAACAATGATCATAAGGAGAGTGACAAAAGGCATGTGTTTGCACATGGCCAATCATAATTAACACAAATATATGCATAAAATACACACATAAAGCTACCAGAAATCTAACACAAAATTGATTAAGGAGGAAACTTGACAGCTACTTTGAAACTCAATGATTATGTATATTTATTAGCAAACAAACATATATACCGATTTTTTCGTATAGATATCGTCAAAAAGTTGTATTTATGCGAACAATTACCGTGCCGAGGTTTGAGGGAATCGGAATCCTTGATGCCCACATCGACTCAAGAAAGATGGAGGTTGCAAGACTTTTAACGGTCAGAATGGTACGTCTGGTACGCGGTGCAAGACGGAATGGGACATGACATAATAGAACAGAAAAAAAATCGTCACGCATTTGGTTTTCAAAAAAAAAACCGTGGCTTCCGTGTAAGCTTCCTAAATCTTTTTTGTTTTGCAAAACCACCTCTCTGTCAGCTGGTTTTTACCAAGGTTTTAGATGGCGTAAGACACTAAAAATTTTAAGAGCCACTGGACGTTTTTCAAGATGTGATTATGACAACAAATACATACATCATATATACAATTATACACATACATATATGTTTTCAACTATTATTTATTAAGTCAATGATATTAAACAATTTAAATTAGATTATATACTATAAACTAAAAAATGACACTAAAAAGGTAAGAAAAACCAATATCGCGTTACAAAAATTGCACATTGGGCTTTACATGCCACGGACTTAACGTGACATCAAATACAAATCTTGATCCACGGCCTGCCGTGGAGGCTATTACAACAAGCCTTTTTGGAATACTGGTTTTTACAAAACGTCACAGATTTATTAGATAGTAGTTGTCAATTGACCAACTCATTTTCAACATGGCCATGGCCCGTCACCATGGCCCGTCAATTGACTCTTCCGATAAGACACACGAGCAGCTTCGTGGAGTGACCCGTCACCATGGCCTCATGAAAATGTTAATACGTACAGTCTTGTCGAAAGGAGGGTAAATAGGCACATATTTTCCTAGAATGGTAGGATTTGCCTCTTATATCGTGTCAAAATATGTAAAACCCTGCGATATAGTCTCTAAAAACGACTTTGAAAAAGGAAATGAAATTCTAACTAGGGTTGTAAACGAGTTGAGCTTTTAACGAGCTACTCGAGCTCGTTTATCTCGAGCTTGAGTTGATCTCGAATACAAAATAAAACCAATTAAACAAACTAGAAACAAAAAGAAAGGCAATTTCAAAGAAAGATCAAGAAAATTAGCAAGATGGTCCCCAAAACAAGTCTAATTTGCATCATCAACTCAACGTTGTACCAAATATACGAAACCCGACTGACTGACTGACTGACCGACCGACCGACACCACCTTAGATTACGCAAATTACACAACATATCAAAAAAAAAAAGAACCATGTCTTCCTTCTCATATCACAGTTTAAACAAAGCCTTAATTTCTCCAATCACACACTATTATAGACTCTTTTCCTTTACTTCACCAAATATCCCAATAGAATTCCCAGCAAACCGATAAGAATAACGTATATGAGCGGGATACCTCCGTGGCTTTTGTTGCCCTGAAGCCTTAACATTTCCTGCAAAATTAAAACAAACCGTAATGTTTTCAGGAACCAGATTCTACCAAAATAAAATGAATTTGGTCATATAAAAAGTTCTCAAAGATGGTTTCTCATAATAGAAATCAAAAAGAAAAGTTGGTTTCATTTTAGTGCAATTTGCCTTAAAACCATAACGCTGCTGTTGGCTGAACTGTGTAAAGTAGTCATGAACTATACGACAATGTAAAATAACCTAAAAAGAAATGTTAAAAGTTAAATGAATAAATACAAGGGGCAAAATTGGAAGAAAAAGAAACCCTGAAGCTTATTGAAACCCTACCTCAACAAACCAAACGGGACTTTACTAGCTTATGGTTATCGAACATGGCGTAGGGAAATCGTTTGATGACTTTGATAATGAGATTTGGCGGATAGTTAATTTAATTCTAGTAGCTTCTTGTCCTCGAGGCATTATCATTTTTGGTTGTAAATAATGAAATCGCTTTCTTTTGTAGCGATTAATGTCAAATTTCTGATGCATATACTCTTTTTTCTCACATGTTATTGTGTGTCATGGTTTCCGTCACCATGGCATGCATTTCCTATCAACGTGCTAAATGTATGTGGGGTCAAAACACTTCCAAAACTTGTCTATAAATTCAGTCCTTTAAAAAAGAGTTGTCCTCATGTTGAACATTTTAAATTCCATGCTATGTTGTACCATGTTTGACTAAGAGGATGTTTGGTTGATTTTCCATTAATAGCTGTGGGGACAAAGCTTTTTGTGTGGATTAATCTGTCTATATAGATTGGGGAAGTTTTTGTATGGGAGGATTTTTTCATAGATGAAATGAGCATAACTTTTTAATTAAGAGGGGCATGTTTGGAAAAAACTTGGTTTTCTGCATAAAACTTCCCCTAGAAACTTACTGCATAAACCCCTTTCTATATCATTAAGCCACTGCCAAACAGTTATGTGTAACTGACCGAATAAGCTGCTAACAAACAGCAAGTCCCATTAAGCTAATTAAGCTGGCTAACAACCAGGTCCTAAGACTATGTTGGCAAACTAGCTAATAAGCTAGCAGTTAGCTGAAAAACTAATCACATTTGGTTAAAACTAGCTGAAAAGGGGGGACAGAATGTAATGAGCTAAAAGGACATGTTGAAAAATTACTTAATTCTGACATCACATATTATAATTAAAACTAATCATTAATACATTTCATCATTTTAAATTAAAACAGAGAGTTTTCCAATTATTTAGGTTTAATGGACATTCCTTGCATTTTATATCATATTTGTGATCTTATTACAAATTTTCCACACCTCATGGCACGACCCTCGCATTTTAAAGGAATGTAAACGAAGTTTTTAAAATTATCAATTAGTGTAAAAAAATATGAGCTTTAGAATATTTGTCACAGTAATTGATGATTTTGAGTAACAAATACACATAATATGAATAAAAACAAACTTTGTCAACCGTAATTATTAATTCTTAAAAAATATTTAATTAATAATTAAATATTTTATTAAAACCATTTATCGAAATTTTTATCATTATGAAACATAAGAAATGTTACTTGATATTTATATAACTTACAAAAACATTTTAAGAATTATTGTATTTGATTTTTGGCCGACTAAACCTATTGAATAATAATTAACAATATAAAAATAATTAATATAACCAATAATATTCAAATAATAAGTACAATAAATAATAATTACAGGCATAATTGGAAGAAAGTGGAAAAAAGCACATAAAGTTTACTAAAAGGCTCTTTCAAGTAGCATTTCAAAAAGCCAATTGTTTAGCAAACCAAAAAGAACATTTTCAAGAAGCTCAAAACTTAAGCTAGCTTATGGTCGCCAAACATGGCCTACATGATGCATAACACCACCCTGAAGAATCGAGAGTCATGTTTGCCAACCATAAGCTAGTTATTTTTTGTGCTTATTGAAAAAACCCCATTTGATAGTGTCATAAAATAGCTTATAAGCTAGATCGTGTTTCAATAAGCTCAAAGAGGTTTTTTCACTCTTTTACCATTATGCCCCTTATATTTTACATAAATGACCAAAAACCTTATTGTTTTAGGTAATTTTACATTGTCATCTAGCTTATCGTCTAGTTTTTACCAACTATGACTAGCTTATCAACTAGTTTGCCAAACATAGCCTAATCTTTTTAAGTCAAATGATAAAAAACCAACCCTAAAAGCACGTGATAGTTTAACAATTCATGGGAATAACCGGAAAGTTCACCAACCAAACGAAGCCTAGCCTGGATCACGCTTTGTTAGTCCTATGGTTCAGAACTCTCCATATAATTTAAGTTTTTCCTCTTTTAAGTAATATAGCAAGTGCTAATGCAGATAAAAGGAAAAATGAGGACTTGCTAAGAAAATCAGCAATGCAAATGAAATAGCACAGGAATACATACATGCATATATATATAGAGAGAGAGGGGTGTTATTTTACAAACCATGTAAACCTAACAAACCGTACAAACCTCATTCAACCAATCATTTTTTTTCACTTTTTCTTAATTATGAGGGTGATTAGTCAATAATATATGAAACAATTTCATCAAGAATATATGAGGGTTGATTAATCAAGAATATATGACACAAATTTCATCAAAATGAGAAATACATGAAACAATTTCATTTTCACATAAAAACAAAAATATATGAAACAATTTCATCAAGAAAAGAATTATATGAAACAATTACATCATATTAAACACTTCCATGAAACAATTTTATTCAATTAAACAATGAACCACACGGTTTGTACGGCTTGTAAGATTTCACTGGTTTGTAAAATAACCTTGGCCTATATATATATATATACACACACACACACACACACATATAATGGCAAGTTGTACCGCATTACTAGATATGGGAAGATCCTGGAATTAGATATAAGATGACATGTGAAACATAATATAACTGAACAGCAATGAACTGAGGTTATATTTGAGGAGGGCATTATGGATGGACATCTGCTCTACTGTCTAGGGTAGAGGTCAGATCTACGTACATCTCACCCTCCTCAGAGCCCACCTCCAGGTGGGATATACTGGGCATGTTTGGCTTCATTATTGATGGACATGGATTCTAATGATGTCTGACTGTTCAAAATGCACAACACTACAGGGCTAAAGGACGGGAAGGGAAAGGAAACACTAATAGGCCTGCGAGTGTAGTGTAGTTACCAAACAATGCAATCGACAATTACAGATTATGAAGCTATTCAGGTTAGAGTGAAATTGCTACGAGTAATTTTGTTAATTAAAATGCCAGCTACAAACTAAACAAACATAAGTAAAGATGTGTACCAGTTCTCGGTGAAGCTTGTTACTTTGTTGAATGGCAGAATTCTTCTCTTCTGTCAGCTTAGAAATAAGGGCCCTTGCCTGGAAAAGCAGGAGGAGGTGAATGTAAACAGGAGTTGACCATCAAACATGTGTAGGAGATAAAAACTTGTGCAAATTATATAAAATTTGATAAAAATGCAAGCACAAGACAATGCGATGGCTAACAGACTTGGTATCAACTGGAGAGGGATGCAGAATAACTTTTCTTATTTTAAATTTCCAATTTAGAAGGGAAAGAATAAGGTCTTGCTGACGCACTCTTCATCCAAGAAACAATCACAACAAGATACCCCACAAATTCCATAATTTCAAAAGGAAGAGAACAGAGAGAAAGCAATAAATCAACAATGCCAAGAAAGCAGCAAAACAAAGATGTCATCATCGAAGATATGCAGGACATTAACGGGCATGGGCAATATTGAGGAGGAAATCCTGTTGAGATCAAATGGTAACTGAACCAAATTTCCAATATGCATGGGGAGTGGATGAAAAAAGTCACTGGTCTAGCACAACTTATTTCATGGTTCAATAATTCTGCTAAATATGATACATAATATGGAAGACTTCTGAAGAAAAAAACATGTAATTTTCACTTCATGGCAAACTGATGTTGATAAATTAGATATGCCGAATACTTGATTTCAACTATACTAGGATACTGCAGATGGCAAAACAGAGATGTATTCACGGTTCTTGGGTAAAATGTTGCATCATTACACTTTAATCCACTGTGACATAGCTTCAGGACATCTGAATCATACTGAATCAACTGTTTTATAAAAACCAAAAGATAGTGCCAAAAGATTGCATGCAAGTATCATAGGCAACTGAACATATACAACTGGCCTGTATTCCAGAATTTGTATTTGAGCACAAAAACTCATCAACAAATAATAATAAGTAGCTCAGGAAATAACCTCTGATGATTTCTCTTGAGATTCAGCATACGCTCTTGGAACCTAAAAAATAAAATTTAGGCACTTTTACATAATTGCGGCGGTTGCATATAAATGTTCTAGATGGTTAAAAAAATGCAAATATAATAATATAATAACACAAAAAACAATATAATCTCACAGCAGTAGAGTCAGTTGTGTTTATAGTCCCATTGTCTGATATTGAAGCCCTTGGAGAGGAACCCTCCTCTGATCCTTCTCTTACAGGTGATGGTGGTTGCGGGGGAGCAACATAATTAACTTTTAATTTGCATTCCTCCACTTGATTTCCGGATTCCTTGTTAAACTGTTGCAAAAAAGATGTATAAACTTCCATCCACAGAGTCAATATATTGAACATAATCTGATCAGCTAAACAATTACCAACTCTGGAGTAATATCTTTAGGGACAGCTCCAGGACTTGCAACTGCACTCTGAAGCAAAAACTTGTCCTTGCATTGCATGTCAGGAGGAGCCTCCTTTTGAGCTTGCATTGTAACTACAAAAATATCAATGCGAGTTAGCCACCAAACTTGCATGCATTATGAACTAATACTGCTTGCATAAATAATCAGACCATATCCTTGAATGTTAATATCCTGCTAGGGCATCAAATTGTGTGTTTGAAAGTTAGAATAATACGTATACAGGAGACTTAAATGGATAATGTAAGACTTAACCCTAATCAATGTACAACAATGCACAAAAGGAGAAAATATGTCACTTGCAGCAACCATCATTGGTTTGTTGCACCATGTCAAGAAGATGTGGTAGAATAACTGTATTGAATATTCATACCAACAACAAATGAACCGAATGGAACAGGAAAACACGAGGCATAAACTTCCATGAAACAAGAAAAAGATGGCCAAACTTTGCTGGCTACACATGACTTATGTTCCATAACCAGTTATGTATTGCAAACTCCCAGATCATGCACTTACTGAGTTACATCATTAATATGGTACTACTATGTATGCACGGCATAGAAATGAACGGATGGAGCAAAATGGCAAAAATGGGGACACAGAACTGGTGTAAAACATACTTTCTACCTTCCATTCATGGAACCATGCATGATGAACCTGGCTCCATGTCTTCCAAAATCAAAAGGGCAGGTACATTTTTGTATTAATCTAGTTTAAATGAAGGGATCAAATTGTGGTAAAAGTGCTTTGATTGGCAAAAGTATCAACTATGAAATTTATAAAACATGACTTTTGTAATGAAACAAAAATTACAGACATATGTATAAGTATGTATGTGCCCATATGACTATATCTGATGTAGGATGGAGTTCAGCAGTTGGCATGTGTCTATTTTACACAACACACACATATGATGCATAATGCAATACCAACATATGATGGTTGGAAACAGAGCAAAACTTAATGCAAGTGCCAAGAACCAGAAAGCCATGATCAGAATGAAAGTGATCAAAGGAACAAGTACACAGGCTAGAGAGATGCAACACATAAGAAAAAAAGCCCTCAAAACAGATGCACATTCAAAGAAAAAGGGAAAGCAGGAACCTATGACATCGCAAGTAGAGTGAGGCAACACAACCCCGGTGTTGGGCCGAACACAGTATTTCTTCGGATTCGTAGTTTTAACCTGAAATTTCAGCAAAACAGAGAAACTGAGAACATAAGATTGCTAGTTTACCACCTCAGGATTAGTTCGTAATCCCATTCTCAAATTTTTTGCACCTATAGATGCCTAGGAGTATTAAAATTGATTACTTGAGATAGTTACAATTATTTGTAATTCAAAAGAAAATGTGCACCCTAATTTATAAGTACAGAGAAAACCCAGGATATAACATTGCCAATTTAGTACTTCAAGAATTAGTGCTTCATCAGATTCTCAAATTTTACACCTACGGATGCCTACTGAAATTAAAATTTATTATTTGAGATGGTTACGATTGTTTTCAGTTCGGAAGAAAATAGTGCCCCCAAATTAGTCAGAACACATAAAACTCAGAATATAACATTCCTAGCTTACCACTTCAAGAATTAGTTCTTGATCCTATTTCTCAACTTCACTCATACATGCCTACTAATATTAAAATTGATTACTTGAGATCGATACGTTTACTATTACTTTAAAAGACAATGACCCCCTAATTCGTAAGAAGTTTCTCTGATTTGGATTTTAGAAAAATCATCTTTTAATTTAGTAAACAGCTTGACACTGATGTAAAATTCATAAACCAAAAAATTCATTATTTCGACATGCACTTTTTACTCGAAACAAAAAAAAAAAGAAGAAAATTTTTGAATCAAAACAAAAAATCGATACCAACAACAATAATAGTACCTTGAACGCAACATGATTATTCGTCTTGTTCGTTAATTGCATGGAACAAGAGATCTGCTTCTTCAATTCAACTACGAAAACGAAAACCACAACACGAAATTAAGAATCTAGTGGGAGCAAATAGCAACAGATCTGAAAACGAGAAGCGGAATCACGCAATAAACTAACTGAAAAGAGTATTAATTCGTATAATTTACAAGGAAACTGAAGCTCCTGAGGATCGACGCTGAGAAGCTCTCCGGTACTCATTTCTTTTCCTTTTTTAGCAAAATTCGACCACCAATCGAACCTTTGCCGGGAAAGTAGGAACAGAAAGTACTTTCGCCGGCGGTCAACAAAAAAAAGTATCTCCCGTTATCGACGTCGGAGAATCCAGCGAGAGTGATAGAGATCTCGTTTTCGAATTGTGTGCGTTTTGTGTCTTTCTGTGTGTGAGAGAGAGAGAGAGATAGTGGTCTTCTTGTGGTTTTATTATCTAAAGGCTGCAATTATATCCGGTTCACCGGTTCCGTTAACATTCAATCCGGTTCAAAACGGTCTTTCGTAAAGTTACGTTACAAAATAAAGACTAAACTACAAATTTAGTCCCTGTGGTTTGTCTGAAATAACACTTTTTGTTTCTTTAGTTATTAATTTACAAGTTGGTCACTGTGATCGTTAAAAACGTTTAATTGAGAAGTAGCATCTGAATCATTAAGAAGTAAATCTTGTTTGGTAAAAAAAATGTGTCTCTTAATGGTTATAAAACCTTCTGAATGATTTTATATATTGGATCTCCCTTAACCATTCAACGTTCTAATTTCATTGTAAACAATTACCAAGTAATTATATTTCATTTTTGCATTATATCATAAGAGTCTTTTAATCATTCTGACCATTTAATCATTCTGCATCAAACCATTCAATAATTGTCAACCAACCCCTAACAAATAACTAGGGGTGTTCAAAAAAACCGTCGGACCGCTCAAACCGGCCGAACCAAGTCAAACCGGACCGTTTTTGGCGGTTTGAGCGGTCTGGCGGTCCGGTCTGGTTTGAAAAATAGCCGAAACCGGGCGGTCTGGTCGGTTTGCGGTTTAGCCTTTTTTTTGGGCGGTTTGGACCAACCCGACCGCCACATATATATATATATATATAATTTTATTTTAATCTTATAAGTTATAATTATTTAGCCCAAATTTAACTTATATCTTATGGGCCTATAATTATTCAGCCCAAAAGCCTTATCCAACACACATCCTAAATCCCCTAAAGCCCTAAATCTAAATCGGTAAATCCCTAATTTGGTAATTCTAAATTTCTAATTCCTAATCGGCTAATCCTTTCAAGTTTCAATCCAGAGTTGTTGCTACCTAATTCATCGAACTCCAATCTCCAATCTGAAGGCTGAAGTTGGGAGTCTTGATAATGATTGATTAGAAACTTGTTGGATCGCTATAACGTAAGTTTCGATTGGTTCCCTACTTCTTTCACACATTTCATACAATCTTTTATCCTTTTAATTTATATGATGTCATTTTTTTCTACAGATTACTCATTCCTGTTTGATAAAGAAAAAATCTTTACGGATTTTGAAGAACTGAAGATGTGGACTTTGTTTGAAGTTTGCACTTTACATATTAGTGTTTTGACTTTTTTTAAACAATKAACACTAAGATTTGGATTCTATTTTTACTTTGATTTTTGGTATGTTTTACATATTTATTTGTTTGGACTTTGGACTTTGGATTTTGGATTGTTTAAATTGGGTTTAAACTTTAATAGTACATATGACACTAGATTTTTTGGGTTTAATGTTTAAAGCCCATTAAAGGCCCAAACCGCCTAAACCGGTCGGACCAGACCGCCTTTTCTTGGTCTGGTTTGACCGATCTGGACACTTGGTTTCAAACCGCTCGGTCTGAAAATTTCACAAACCGCCATTACGGTTTGGTTTGTGGTCTGAGGGCTTAAACCGCCCAAACCGGACCGCGAACACCCCTACAAATAACCATTATTTGATCTTTTTTTTTATAATTTGAAGGTATTTTCTTTTGTTAGGGTGGGGCGTGGGCTACTGGAACGTTTTAGTCAACAAAATCATTTTCAACCTTTTTTTAGAGGGAAAAAACGATTATCATTTTACATCTTTTTAATATATATTAAAAGGGTATTCACGTAATATAGCAAAATATATCTTGATTTTAATGTTTTGTTTTATTCTGTCTTTGTAAATGTTATAATATGGTTTTTATGTGGTTTTAAGAAGAGAATAATGTCTTTATTTTTAAATAAAATATAAATTTGAAGATATTATAAAATTTCAAAATTAAATATATCAATATTATTATCAAATTAACTATTTAAAAGTACATGTTTTTTATGTAATTTTTTTAATTTAATTTTTTATTATAATTTAATTTATATTTAATAACGAAGTAATTTATTCTTAATTTAATAAAATAATTTTTTATAAAGATAATAATTAAGTATTATGTTAGAACTTAATGATTATCTTAATTATATCTTAGATTTTTTATATTTAAAATGAAATTTTTATCTTGTATTTGACTATATTTATTTGCAGTTAGTTACACGAATTCAAACAAGAAGCTTTAATAAGTTGTATTTACGTACAATCTATTTGTAATATTGAATTTTAAGCAATATACATCAACAAAATAGTACTTCATACATAAAAATTGATTTTTAAGAGTTTTTACCAAATGCCTTATAATATAGTATAGATAATATAATTAAGAAATGTATTCTGATTAAAGAAAATCAAATAAATTAGACATTTAATATAAGGCGCATTTCATGAGGGGCATATTAGAAATTTGGGAACTGTATATAATACGACATGTAATATATTCATCAAAAATATGGACACGTTATTCAAACGTATCATTTATGATAAGTTAGACCGTGAAAACTAAAAAAAGGGTGTCCTCGGCAATTGTAAAAATGCACCTTTCTTTTATAAAATCTCAGCTAATCATGAAATTAGTATGTTCACGACACGTTTATATTCAATTATTCATAATGAATAACACTTTTATATTCTTCTAATGTATTATTCATGATGAAACATCATCCTAAAGATGAACACATGACGCGTGGACAGTTCTCGGGTTCCTAATCAATTTTGAGTTATTAACGGACTTTTTATTGTATTTGATTTGAAAAGATAAGAAATCGTAATAAAATAGATAAAAACAATATCATGACTTGTTCGTGAGATACGGTTGTTTTCGTGAGACACGGTTTTTACACTTGAAACTTCATAGCAAAACACTGTGAAGGTAAATTGCTGTGAAGATTCGGCTTTTTTTTTTTAACTTTATAACATTTTGTTGTGAAGTTTCAAGTGTAAAAATCGTGTCTCACGAAAATAGCTTTGTCTCACGTGAATCCAACACACGATATCATTAATCAAATAACGATACCAATACAAACAAAAATACAGTTAACAATATTAAATATTTTTGAGTTTTTTTCCGATTTAATTTAGGAAATAAATATTATCATCTACAATTAAATATTTATAAAACCAATGTATACAAATATTCAGTCTTATGCAAAACTGTCATCACTATGTTAATATTATCAATCAAATATTACATGATGTTACACTATGCGAGATATATCTTGATTTTAATATTCTATTTTATAATACGGTTTTGTATGATTTTAAGAAAACAATAGAGTTTTTATATTTGAATAAAATATAAATTTGAAGATCCATAAAAATTTGTATCTATATCAGTATCAAATTAACAGTTTAAAAGTTCTCATTATTTGTATAATTGTTTAGTTCAAGTTTTTGGTACAATTTAAATTAGGTTTAATAGGATGTAATTTATTTTAGGTCTAATAATATAATGTTTTTTATAAATATAATTTTTAATTCAATCTTTTTATTATAATTTAATCTAAGTTTGATGACGGATTAATTTATTTTACGTTTAATAATATAATTTTTTATAAATATAATAATTAAGTATTCTGTTAAAACTTAATGATTATCCTAACTATATTTTAGATTATTTATATTTAAAATGAGATATTTATTTTGTATTTGATTATGCTTATCAGTTAGTTATATGAACCCAAATATAGTTTTAAAAAGTTGTACTCACTCATGCATTATTTATTTGTAATCTTGAATCTTAAGTAATGTACATTATTAAACAGTACTTGATGCATTAAAAATAGTCTTTTTAAGAGTTTTACTCAAATATTTTGTAAAATAGTATTGATAAAACAAACTAAACAATCTATTTCAAAAACTTAATATAATACTTGTAATAATGAGTTTGGTGTAAAGCAAACTAAAAATATATGCATATCAAACCCAAAAATAACTGATAAAAATATAAAAGATCAAAAGAGAATGACAGTGATAGCAATAGTGGTTGGATTTGGTGTTCAATCGATTATTGTAAGTAAAATTCTAACCCATTCCATGTGATTTGTATGGGTGTTAGGTAAACTTTGAATCGTTAGTTGATTTATGTGTCGATTATGAGCTATCAGTGACATAAATGTAGTTTATTTTGGCCAGTGGACGAAGTCTCAACGTTATAATCGAGTATCTTTTTTGTATATTAATGATACGTTTTGACATTATTTTATGTACTACGTTCATGCACGTGCATTCAAGAAGAGGGCTAAACAAACAGGGGTGGAACATCATAAGGGCCTTTAGGAGCCATGGTCACCCTGCTTTTTACTCAGATACCATATATGACCTTTTAAAAACACATCTGATGGCTGGCTTGATTGGTTAACTCGAACCCATGATGGGTTCGAGTCCCATACTCTGCACTTTTCCATTTTATTAATTTTTTATAGTCCAAAAACATAATAGATTTATCACTACAACAAAATTGAATTTATAGAACGTCTTAAAATACTAGTTTATAGGACCACAAAATAAAACGTTCTATCTAAAAGCATTGTAATAAGTTTATAGGATACTTTGGACTTTTTAACAAGTTTTTTAAGGACACTTTTAATATAAAGCGTTATATTACCAGTTTTATAGACTATTCAAAAATATTTTATAAACTCATCTTTCTGTATGGTACTTTTTCAAATAGTGTCCTATAATATTGTTAATGTGACGTTTTATATTAAAAATGTTCTAAAAGAACTTGTTAAAATTCTCAAAGCGTCTTATAAACTAATTACAACGTCTTTAGATAAGATGTTTTAGTTTTTGATCATGTAAATTAAGTCTTGTAAAGTGGTCTATTAAGAGGCTTAATTTTTTTGGTGTCATATAAACCCGACTTCGTTGTAGTGTATATTACTATTTTCGAGTTAACAGTTCGAAGGTTCTAAGTTTTAGTCTTATATTAACCAATCATTTTTCTAAAATTTAATAATAGATCATATCGGAAAAAAGTTACATGCGCATCATTTGGATTTCTGAACTTTTATAATATTATATTTCGGCCCCTTAGGCTACAACGACCGTATTCCGCCCTGTAATAAATCAAGCAGAAATGCGTAATTTTGAGGTCAACATCATAGTTATGGAGTCGGGTTGCCACAAAGGTGAAGTAGGGCAGTGAAAACAAATTTGGTTCTAAAAACAGGTATAATATTGCATAAAAACGGACGAATGTCGTATGTTGTGGTTTTGAACACAAGTTCAGCCAAATACTACTGAACTCTAAAGTTAAAACATAAACACCATCGTCCAATATACTACTGAACTTACAAATCATGAAGCGGAAGTCTAACAGTCTTTAACAAAACACACAGGGAAAACCTAATATCCTTAGTTTGTCTCATATCAAACTGAACTGAATAAGTATTCCAATGCATAAATCAACATATTATAATTTATAAAAACTTAAAAAAAGTTTTGAAAATTCGGTCCAATATATAACCCGTCTCGAACCATGCCTTGAAATTTCATAGAATTTGTAACTTAACTTAGCACGACGAAGCCCGATTTGACCCCTCTCTATAATGAACCAAAACAAACTTTGACTTTTGGTCAAAATTGTATTTCTTACAAGTGTTTTAAAGTATAATAATCTTTATCATTGTAATTTATTAGATAACAATATAATAGTTTTACTCTATCTATACTATATTATAAAGTATTTGACAAAAACTTTTAAAAACTATTTTTTATGCATGAAATACTGTTTATTGATGCATATTACTTAAAATTCAAGATTACAAGTAAATTGTGCGTAAGTACAACTTATTAAAGCTTCATGTTTGAATTTGTTTAACTAACTGCATATAAACATAATCAAATAGAGAATAAACATCTCATTTTAAATATATAAAATTCTAAAATATAATTAAGATAATCATTGAGTTCTAACAAAATACTTAATTATTATGTTTATATAAAGATTATATTATTAAACAAAAAAAAATATTAAAGAAATACACAAAAAAAGGATAAATTTTAAATAGTTAGTTTAGTACTAATATCAATATTTTTTTTTTCAATTTTTATAATACATCATCATATTTATATTTTATTCAAAAATAAAAACATTATTGATTTCTCAAAAACACATCAAACCATATTACAACATCGATCGAGGAAAAAACGAAACAATAATGTATTTTGCTGCATTGTGTGAGTATTTGGTTATATTAAAAAGATAGAATTTAAGTAACTTTCATGAATAAAGAGATAGCATTTAGTCTCACTTATCATCACTTTTTTAAAAAGGGAACTTGTACTTATTGAATTAAATGACACTTATGATATGTAATGTACATATAGTAGTGACCACCAACTCATAGTTCCATATGCATCTTTCTTAGGCTGGATTTTCAATAACGGTTTTTTCAGTAAAATTCATAAAATGTATTATTACTGGTTTATTTTTCGTATTTTTTGGTTTTACTTTTATTCATTAAGTATATTATTACTGGTTTACTTTTGTATTTCGATGTCCAAATTAGTTTCTCTATCTAAAATCGCCATAGACTTTGAGGATGTTTTGTTAAGTGTATCATATGTCATAGAGGGCATTTTGGTCTTTTTACCATTCTTGCTTCTCAAGAACATTCACCCCTTAACCACCCACCAAGATTCATACACAAAACCTAAATCAGATTAATTTCAAGATGATATATTTGCATAATTGTGATTTTGGTGGCTACAATGTGGGAGTTACAAACCCGTTGAGGATTGGCCACCTTGTGGACGCCAGCTCTTAAACAGCAACTAGCAGGCGACTGGGCATCTGATTTGTTTATCACATGATACTCATGGGGTTAGACAACGTGGGCCCGTCCAAAGATTGCCGGTTACAGAACCTTTTGCACAACAATCCCACATCACAAAAAACCAACTCAAGCCAAACCTACATAATAGATCCCACTTAAATAGAGTCGAGAGTAGTAAGATGTATACAGACCAATCATCTAAAAGACAAAAAAGTAGTTTTGCCTCAAAACACAAATTATCACATGAAATGATTACTATATGTTAATTATATCATAGCTACCACATGCAAATTTGTATTATCCTTTCATTTTATTTCAAGAAGTTATATGTTGTTGCTAAAAGTGATTTAAATCTATAGGTTATTGTTGGATTATATACGCAAATACCAAATGGTGATATAAACTTGAAATTGATTCATACATCCCAGCATCATCCAGAAGAAGTTGCGGCATCACCAATGTTCGAATTCGATGGCTCGTTTTGACGAAGGTGAGCCGTAAAACCAGCGTACCAAGCCACCCTCATGATCTGCACCCCAAGAACCAGCACCCACCAGCACACAAGCCCCCTAATCGTATGAACCGTCCAAGCCGGTGCACCAAGCTCGGCGCCTAGCTTCAGACCCCTCATCAGCTGCAACACACGATACGATTCGTACACGACTGGTGTCACTAGCCACACGGGTGACTCCCAGTGCCAGGTCAGCATCTCGGTCAGCATCTGTACCGCAAGAAGCAAAAGATAGGGGCCCAAAAGAATCGCAAACGAAATGGGAGGGAGTTGAGGTTGAAAAAGACCCTTTTCAGAACCCAACATCATGGCTAAAGGAACCATAAAGCCGGATATGGTTGCAACCATGTTCCAGAATCTGTAGCCGAAAGGGGCTTGACTATGGCACGGTTCCTGAGACTCGATGTTTGGGCGTGAGCATGCATCCGCCATCAAAAGGAACAGCGATGCACCCAGATTGAATATGCAGTCGAGCCCGGTCAATGACAAAAGGCTCGCTATATTGGGTCCTAGAAAGATAGAAGATATCGGTAACCAAAGAGTTGGGACCATTCCGGTGGCTAGAAGAACTGATGGGCCCACAAGCCACATTGGCCATCTAATGTACCCAACCTTCGAAACCCTTTTGGTATCTGTCGTTTGAGATTCGGCAGTTTTGGTTTGATCAGAGTCAAGAGTTTCAAATAAGGTGGTGGAACCACTCAAAAACTGGGATTTCGTGGTATCATCTGTGGGGGCATATGTGACGGGTGGAGGCTCCCATGGGGACACGTTTGTGCAGCAAATGGTGCGGTGTTTTGTGGCTAAATGAGGAAAGGTGATCCTGAAGTTTGCGGGTTTCCAAATTCTGCGGTTTGTGGATTGGAGTTTCGGGAGAACCATTGATGCCATTGTAGATGGAGACCGAACTACAGAAGCCATTTTACGGTGTTTTGGGAATGTAATCTACACAACTTTATCTGAGAAGTGCTTCGGGTTTTATCTGAAAGTGAAAACAGGAAGCATTCAAACAGCGCCAACCTACCAAAATATAAATCAAACTAAACAAAACAAACACAATATATCTCAGTCAAAAGTAGGGTCTCGGAGGGGTGGGATGTAAGCAGACCTGTCCTCCAACCCAAATGATACAGAACCAACCAAAAATACGCTTAGGGGCCATTTACTAAACACTTACCCGTTAAGTGCTTACTAGGTCATTTACCTTACCGGATGAACATGGCAAGTGCCGAGAATCTTACACAGTAAGAGCGGTTATAAGGATGGAGAATATACACGGTAAGTGAGGGTGACGACTTTTACCTGGTAAGCGCTTACCAACCTTTTTGATGGAATAAAATCTTATCCGGTAAAGTAAGATAGAGTGTTAGACTATTACAAGTAAGCGCTTACCCGGGTAAATGGTCCCTTAGTAAGTATATCTAATTCTATCGATCACTACTCTTCGCCACATTTGGCCATTTGGGGATCACAAGATGAGAGCCAAAAGATAATACACTGCAATTTATTTAGGTCTTATATGGTATCAATTGGTTAGTAATTCTTGTAATTAGTGTTTATTATTAATAACTGAATGATTCATGAAAACGGCCCCGGGTAGAAGCAAAATCTGCGTACATCCTATCCCCTCCTACATATGTGTGGAATATATAGGGTTTGTTTGGTTTGTTCTTTATTAATAATTGGATGATTATGTTAAGTTTTATTTGATGTAAAAATGTTCTGTTTATTGACTCCATTTGTCAGCAAAGGGTCACTGGTCTAGCAGTATCCGGATTACTTCAAAAACTTGAATATTAGAAATTTCTAACCTGACTCTTTTTTGCCCAAGAGCCTAAAGGTACAAGTACCCAGCCAGATTTAATACTTTGTTATACCCTAGAAGTTGCTATTAGTTATGTTCGCCAGGAGTAAAGGGGAGTAGTTTTGATAAGGGCAAATTTGGAAGGAATATCTGTTACAAGACTTACAAGGGGTAGAAAGGGAGAAGTGGCTTTAAGAGTCTGTTATATAGGTGTGACCGTGTGAGTAGGAGTGGGGCTAATTTGGACGTGAGTCCTATGGAGAGTCTTTGCCTCTCAAAAGCCAGAAAACCCTTTGTTAAATTTTTGAGTGTGAGTAATACAACCAGAAATTAGCATTGATTTTACTGTTCTGATTCGGTGTACATCATACTTGGATTTTCACATGAGGTTTAAAAGTAAGAGGATGAATACAGCAAAATGGCTAAAACAAATGAGTTTTCTTGAAATGAGTTGGTAATTTGTTGACCTTAGATCAAGGGTGTTAGAGTCTCACATCAGCTAGACTTAAACCATTTCTCATGAATTTATGTCAGGACCTCCTTTTGGAGAGTAATCATTGTTCTATCCTCAAAGGCTCTTTTGGAAAGTAACCTAACGGGCTTTCACATATTCTCGCATGGTATTAGGATAGAGGTTTACCTCTCTAGGGACTCGACACTCTGGAGCAAATGTACTCGTCTAGAACCCTCTCGATTATAGCTGTTAAAAGTGCGCCTGCAGCACTGAGACTCATGAGGTTGGATTTTCTATGGTCAAGGCGAGGCACATTCACGAGGCGAGCTAAGGCGCAACGCCTTGGATGAGGTGTTTTTTGGGCCTCGGCACGTCTCATAAATCTTACTGAAATTCTGTGTTTTCTAAATAAGTCTTCTCATCTTCTCATCTCCTAGACCTCAAAAGAAAGACTTATCATCCCCCACGATTAATGCACCAAACCCCTTGTAAATACAGCCAAAACCCACCTCGTCTCTCATCTCCTCACCTTCGCTCTTCCTCTCTCTTTGATCGTGTCCCACTAGGCTATTGCTTTCTTTTGGTCATACCTCTTCAGTAAAAGGTAACATACTTGCATTATCTGGTTTAGTTTCACAAGGGAAAAAAATTTCCCTTGTGGATTGTGGGAAGAGTTTGATCTTTGGTCATGTGGTCCATCTCTTGAATCCTGACTTATTTTTATCTTTCCCTCTATTCTATATATTTATTGTTAGTGTGGTATTTGCATATTTGTCAGCATATTATTCTTTCCCACCCTCCCTCTCAGTCACTAGTTACTTGGTTAGAAGCAACATTAGTATCATTATTTAGTTTTCTGTTTGATAAGATGCGCCACACGCCTAGACCCCGGGACCCCTTTGCGCCTAAGTGCGCCTTGAGCCTTTAAAAACTTCGACATTCTGGGACAATCTATGTCCATCTAGCATCCACTATCTTAACGGGGTTCCACATATTCTCACTTGGTATCAAAGCGAAGTTCTACCACTCTGAGGACTACACACTCTGGGCCAATATGTACTCGTCTAGCTCCTTTTCGATATTTTGGGATAATACGTGCCTGTCTAGCCTCCCTTCTATCCTCAAGGGCTCTCTTAGAGGGTAATCTAATGGGGTTCCACATACTCTTACAAAGGGTATAATGCGAACACCGTACTTAAGTAAGGGGACCCCTAAATCAAACTGATCTATTTACAAAGGGGGATCTAAAGTGGAATGTCAGGCGTATCACGTCATGACTTACGCATGAACTTGCTAAACTTTTTGAAGAAGTTTATCGACCATTTGGAACAAACTTAACAATTCTATAGCAACGACCACTTCCTGATCTGTTCGTTGGACAAACCTACACACATCATTTTGCCATAAAAGTTCTTGAACAATTCTTTGGCAATAATCCATTCCTAATTTGTAGCATTAACCACACTTTACAAAAGGCTAATCAACCACAACGTCATGAATAGCAGCTATGCACTGTTTATAAAGAACACAATAAAGCAATTGAAGCAGCAAACATTTTCAGATTCATATGAACATGTATTTCATAAAGAAATAAATTTGGCTGTTATAGTCCGATTATCACATACACTATTGAAAATTGAAATCGATTTGGTAAAATTCAACATCGTCTTCCCTTCGTATATCAGTTGTAGTTATTCAATCCTCCTAGAAATTCAAAATCGATACCAATTTCGGAATTCAAAGTTAGTCCGATAACCCCCAAAGATTAAACAACTCTTTTGAGCAGTTTTCTGAATTAGGTACAACCAGCTACTAAACTCGCAGAAAAACACGAATAGAAACAAATCAAAATATCAAATAGATTCCAAAGTTTGATTATGTTTCGATTTGCTGATTCATTCAAATATTAACAAAAAGTAACAACATAAGAAATACCAAATTAGGGTTTTGAATAGCTGAAATTACCTCGTTAATCGATTAGGGTTTGTAGAACCCCAGTTTTGCTTCAACTGATTTTGAAGAAAATGATGGCTGCAACATCGACACGAGCTCACCTTTGTTAATTTCTGTTTACTTCAGGTTCAATAAATACAGAGAACAAAACGACGAGAATGGAGACGAGAGTAAATTACAAATTTCGTCCATTGACAATTTGATTTAACATTTTTGGTTCAAAATAACAACTTTTATATCATTTTAGTTCATCAGTTAATATCGACGAATTCCTTTTTTGAAAGACACGTTGCTTTCACGAAATGGCTAATAGTCTCAAACGGAGTATGACAATCTCGACCACGATATTTACGGTTTCGTCCACCAATTTATTGACAAATACACGTTTATTAGAGTTAATTCATAACGAAAACTCGACCAATCAATAAAAACAACAGTTGCCCGCTTCTTTTATTTTCTAAATGTTTTCAAGATTAAGAAAATTGTAATCTATATGTATCATTGATATCTTGTAAATAGGGTTGTTGTGGAGCTGCCATCTGACCATTATCGTCAATCTGTCATAGTGGCAGTGTTTGTACATAAAAATGTTCGTAACTGGGAACTCCTGACCTGACCCATAGAAAAGATCGTTGTGGTCGAATTAAAAGCCAATTTCCGTAAGGAGCTCAATCTCCAAAAAAATTGTAACTCGCATGCTATAGTTGTCAGACACGAACTCTCACGTGTTTGTAAAAGTATATCATTTCAAAACCAACTGTGTTTTGCCCTATGGGCTAGTGAGAGTGTTGTCTTGGATGAAACTTGTTGGAAACTATTTGTAAACTTGTCACTTTTGACTTGACGGAACTCGTCAAAAGTCCTTTGTCTTGAACAAAACGTGCCATTAACAATAATGTCGTTGTGGTTAGGGACTAAGATGGTATAGTATCTTTCTTGTTTACCGCGGTATGGTAACTGAAGTTACGTTTCATACAAATTGATACAATCACGAAAATTCATGTCTTAAAGTACATTTAAAAATCTCTTGATTAGCTTTTATGTATCGGTTATTGGTAATTTCTAGCTTTTATTCAAAGATTTTATTTACAAGTGTGTAGACAGCATAAAGATGTGTTAGTATGTGTATGTATATATATATATATATGTGTGTGTGTGTGTATTTGTATCACAGGTGTATATTGATATATATATATATATATATATATAGAGAGAGAGAGAGAGAGAGAGAGAGAGAGATACGCATATGTGAATTTTGTGTTTTTGTTGTATATCGTTCAAAATTAAGGTTTTAAATGATATAATACGTGGCAGCGAGATTAAATCTCAAGTCTTACGAGTTATGGCGAGACCATAATGTTTTTCAAGACGTGTCCTAAGGCTTATATATATATATATATATATATATATATATATATATATATATATATATAGGGAAGGGTTCAAACGAGAACCCCTGTGATTTACGAAAAAACGAGAACAACTCAATAACCACATATTGTGATTAAAAATAAAATTAAAAGATTTTTAAAATTAAAATTAAAATTTAAAAAGATTCAAAAAATTTTAAAATTAAAAGGGTAATAATAGAAATGATATATATTATCTAGAAAACTGTTAGAATCTTTTAAACTTATCATTAAACACAATCAAAATCTTTTAAACTTATCATTATCATCTACAAAACGGTTACGATTACAAGCCTAACTTCAAATCGCAAGAACTACGGACGGCGACGGTGTTGATCGACGGTGACCAACCAAGAACACACAACCGTAATCGACCAAGAACCCTAATCAAGAAGCCATTGCATGCAACAA